TCTCTCTCTCTCTCTCTCTCTCTCTCTCTCTCTCTCTCTCTCTCTCTCTCTCTCTCTCTCTCTCTCTCTCTCTCTCTCTTTTCAATATCCCACACAATTGTGCTGATTTGGTACAGGCGTGGAACCCTCAAGCATGTGATAAAGTCTGGAAAATGTGAGGTTGAGATGTGTTCTCTCTCTCCACCACCTTCAGAGATAACAGCAGTTGGACCAGACAGTTGAAACCACCACGCCAACGGCCCACCCACTCTTCTTTCTTCTTGTCTACAAGCACCAGCCCAAAATCGACAGTGCCCAGGTTCCGTACCACCATTACTTTTCCTCAGGCCGGCACGGTGGATTTTAGGCTTGGGGAAATGCAATTTTTTGAATTTTTTCATTTTTTTTACCTTGTCAACGTAGGTCCGGATTGGAGTGGTGGTTTAAAGCACACGCTGGACCACAGAGTAAGACCACAGTGGTGACCACACAGGTGCACAGCACAATTTGGACCCCACAGCTGGATCACACAGGTAGAACACACAGGTGACCACACAGTTGGAGAGGTGAACCACGCATGTGGACCACATAGTTGGACCACACCACACAGCTGGACCACAGAGGTGGATGTCACAATGGGACCATGCAGGTGGACCCCATAGTTGGGCCACACCACACAGTTGGACTACACAGTCAGACCACATGGGTAGACCACCTAGGTGGAGCACATTGTTCGACCACATAATTAGAACAATGCAGGCATACCGCACACTGAGACCCCTTGGGTAGAGCACCCAGTTGAACCACATAGATAGACAGGTGGACCACACAGTTGGACAACAAGTTTCCGTGCACTTGAACCACACATTTTGCATCAACTTCTTAATTTATGATACAGGGAACCTGCACGAGAAGCGGCTAATACCATTATTCGACCCGAACTGAGCGCTTTCAACAGTAGCTACCTCCATTATTCTTGCCCGCGACCTCTCCATCTCGGCATATAGACCCTGTTGGGGTTCGTCGAGCAGTCATCCAACAGTTCACATTCCTTCTTTCTGCAAGTCTCAACATTACTCAGCAGCTGCCTTGCTTCCATGGACACATCTAGAGCACCATTGACATGCATGACATTCGTCTTGTGCATTTTGCGTTGATTCTTTCTTTCTCTGCGTTGCTCGGCCGATGCGTTGTTTCCGTTGACATCGACGTGAGCATAGACGCGCATAACCTTCATCTTGTTCATTTTGCCTTTCTTCGTTCTATACAGCGATCAGCTAATGCCATTGACATCAACAAGAGCATTCACAGTGTCACACACATGACATTTTGCCTCTCTTCTTTTACGACACGAGATATGCCAGCACTTCCCTGTTTAGTTTTTCTGTTTTGCCGTTTAGTGCAGAATGCAGTGACCCGATCCTCTAACACAATCAATAAGGTCCCACCGACCACACACTTCTCAGGCAGACTGCTGCACCCTATGACAGTTTTTGGGTGCGATTCCATGACTCCCTACCCTCAACCAACTCTGCAGACATCAACGCAGTGCGGTGCGCCTTTGTGCTCAGATCCTACATTCCGTGATATGTATGTGCTAGCTAGCTGGCACCGAAGGCTGAAGAGCATTGGTGACGCACACAGTTCATTAGTTCCGTTCCATCATTGACGCTGAGGACTCCCTCTGCAGTACACAACTGTCTTCCTGGCTTCTTTGCACATGCTTTGTCACATCTTCTTGAGGTGCGATCACCCTGGACCACGCTGTTCCATCTACATTCTCCGCTCCATGACAACCGAGGTCCGATCACTCTCGTCTTGTGGGTTCCATTGTCTTCGTTGTTATTGGTATTATGATTCGATGGACTCTATCTCCTGACATGCTTTTGCAGAGCTTCCAAAGGTTTCTTCACTGCATTATACCCCCCCTCCCCCCCCCACCCACTACACAATCATTATGTTGCATGTTCAGTTGACTGCGGAAGACAGAATGCAGACAAGAGTGGCAGAGTGCATGCTCCCTTGCAACGCACCCTTGCTCTGTCCCTGTCATGAACAAACAAAAGGACCTTGGTCACTGCTGTTTTGTTCACATGGCAGTTGAAACACCATTTGGTGCTGCATGGCTTGTCATTGATCAATCCACATCATCGTCGTCGATCAATCCACATCATCGCCATCGATCAATCCACATCATCGTCGGCAGTCAATCCACATCATCGTCACCATTCCTTGTCCTCTTTGTCACCAACACCATACTGCTGATTGTTTCCAACCCCTCGCAAAACTTCCCCTACTGATGTCTGGCGACCCGTCACTTGACCACAAACCCATTGAAAAAATCAAATGAAAATTCAAAAATCGCGAAATAATATTTCAATTTTGAACCATTTGACAAATTTCCGACCCGTTGCACAACTTGCCCGGTCGACGAGTGGTGGCTCCTTTTGATTTTTTTTTTTTTTTAGGCCAATATCTCACTAGCAACAACTAGTGGGGACTTCCCACTCAACCACACAAATGCAAAGGGAACTCTTCAAAAATAAAAAATAAAAGAAAAAAAATCTTTTAAAAAAGGACCAGTTCTCAATCAGTTTGCGTCATCCTTGTGCAGAGGCCACACTAATCTGCTCTATGCTGCTCCATTTATCTTTATTTTTTTATTTTTATTTTTCTAGTTTGGAGTCTTGGACCATTTTTCGACTTGTGTGCCATCCTTGTGCAGGGGCATCCTAATCTTCTCTGTACTCTGTATCGTTCCAATTCTAACAGATGTGCCGAAGGCCTTACTAATCTTCTCAACATTGTTCCAATTCTCGACAGATTTCCCAAATCACAGGCAAAACAGAAGAAAGAAGACATAAGAGTTGAAGCCTACATGTCCTTTTCCCTTCTCCTTTTCTCTGTTCTCGAGGAGTGACAAGAAGACACAAGAGTTGAAGCCTACATGTCCTTTTCCCTCCTTTTGTCTGTTTTCAAGGCGTGAAATTTTTCCATACGTGTTTCACAAATGACAGCAAGATGTGTTTAAAAGGGGAGTTCCAGGAGGGAGAAGAGAGGGGAGAAATGTACCATAGAGGAAGGAGTAGGGCAGGAGGGTGACCGGCACTACTGGGCCTGCATGAGGTTAGAGGGGGATCAGAGGCCCACACGGGGAGAGGACCCAAGGGCAGAGAATGAGGAGGGTTGCAGGTGGGAAGAGGCCTACGGGTGCTTAAGGGTGTAGGCTGCCCGAGGGTTCCAAAGCAACAAGATGCAGACTTAGTGGTGCCAAACGGTCCCTAAGAGGTGCGGGGGGTTGCCTAGTGCTGCTTACAGGTGCCTAAGGATGCAGGGGCAACAGGGTGCCTAAGGGTGCAGGGGCAACAGGGTACCCACGGACACAGGGGCTAAGGGTGCCTAAGTGTGCGCAGGGGCAACAGGGTGCCTAAGGGTGCAGGGACATGAGGGTGCCCAAGGACACAGGGGCTAAGGGTGTATAATGGTGCAGGGGCAAGAGGGTGCCTAAGGGTGCAGGGGGTGGAGCGACCTAAGGGTGCAGAGGCCTACGGGTGCCGGAGCCTCAGGGTGCTGAAGCAACAAGATGCAGTTTGATGGGAGGTAACAGAAACCAAGAGAAGAAATGGGTAAAATAGTAAAATGGCAGTTGAAGGAAAGAAAGGACGAGGGTGCAACAGACAAAGGGAAAGGAAAAAGAGGAAAGTATACATACTTGAAACTGTGGCTGTCGAATTGTTGGCTTCCTGTACAGATGTCATCCCTTCGCCTCACATGCATTGTTACTCCCTGAATAGAACAGGAAACGCCAACAGCACAGGTTCTCTTCCAGTTTCGTTTTTCACTTTTCGCAGGTTTTTTCTTTCTTTCTCAATTCGGACCATCTTTCTAATTGTGGATGCCATCCTTGTGCAGGAGCACACACAATCACTTAGAGAGCCAGAGAATGCAAACACAACACGCCACTTGAGACTTCACAAACACACACACACACAGCGAAGGCAGCACCCGTGACCAATACTCGCCGCGGGGGACATGACGTTTATGTGCCACGACTTTCGGGGACCCACGGCCGCTGATAAATCTCATCAATGGCCTTTGTCGCGGCGCAGGCCTCCAAAATGGCCTTTGTCGCGGCGCGGGCCTCCAAAAGTCGTGGTGAGGGGCCTGCAGCCGATTTATGGCTGACGTACTGGTGGTTTAAGACCCATCTCAGCGAGGCCTGTTCTTGTATTTGTTATCCTTTCAAATAAATTGGACCTACACAAACATTTGGACGTGTAGGTTCTTGACTCCTATGCAGACCCAGGGGATCGCTGGGCATGGGTGAAGATCTCAGTCACAGAGGAAGATTGGGCTGTGGTGTCAGTCAATGCCCCGGTAGACTATATGGAAAGGCTTTTTTTTCTTTTGGCTTTCCTACTGACTTTTCTGCCTGACACTCAGAATTTGATTGTGACTGGGGACTGGAAAACTATCCACGCAACAGGCCTTGATTCCCCTAACCTGGATCGGCTGCCATCGAACGCGCATCTACTGGCTGCCTTCACTGAGAGCAAAAACTTGGGAGACGCCTATAGGAAGTGAAATCCTGATCTTGATCAGACTTAATGGCTTCACCAGGCATGGACCCATGACAGCCCCTCATGTATCACCCCCCTGGAAAAGACTGGCTTCCGTACTAACCAGCACTTCCTCCTGGGATAGATGTATGTGGGCGGAGGCAATCTGAAGATTAGATTGCCTCCCTCTCTGACCACTACCCTGTCATAATTAAAAAATAGACATATTGTCTCCTAAGGATGTGGGAGACGGACAATGGGGCCCCTTCAGGTTAAATACTAATAATATTCTTAAGCCACCAGTACACACCCCCAGCCTTGCTGAAACGAAACTCGTCGCCTGGTCCAAAATGTTTGGGGCCATCATGGCGTTGGTAAATGCCATCAATGGCCAGCATTGCGTTTCGGGCCTCCGAAACTCGCGGTGATGGGCTCGTGGCCGATGTATGGCCGTGTACTGGAGGTTTAAGGACCTGGGGATCGCCCAATCGATAGGCAACTATATTTTAGCCTGACAAGAAGCTAAAGGGGGTGTGGTTGAGTCTTTGATGTAAGCCGGTTATATGACTTGCTGGAAGGGAAAAAAGGAAAAAAAGGAAAAATGGTCTCAAAGAATTATAAGGATGCGAATATTGGATATCGAGTGGGGGTTTAGGGTTTAGGGTTTTAGTGGTACCAGAAAAGGGGGGTCGGTAAGACGAGTTAGGGCTGATTAGGGCTCATGGATAGGATGGGTAAGGGGGTAGGCTCGCTAGCTTGACAATGGGCATCCTCTTTCTTGATAAGATAGAACTATTTGACAGAGCTGGTTGCCGGGTCTGAGAGGAAAGAGCGAAGTATGGCAAGCTGGCAGTTAATCCTGCACCAAGGTGGAGCAATCAATGCTGCGCAGGGGTCCTTCGGCCAGACGGAAGGAAGTGGGAGTGTGTCTCAATGTAACATATATTTTGACTTGCCGGTGGAATAGAAACCGGACTGACGCTCCCCAGAATAGAAGGAGCCAGGACCATAAGGCCCTGTTTAAAAATTAAAAAAATTAAAAAAAAAAAAAAAACTTATTCGAGACTCTGGATGCCTGGGGCTGATACAGGCATCAGAATAATCCAATCGGCCCTTCAAGTGTTCTCAAGAATAAAGGCTGCCAACGGGTCCTGCCATTCTTCTCTGGGGGTTAGATGATAGATGCCTTGTGACGGTAGGTTACCCCCTTGTGTGCTTAGTCATATCGTTTTTAGGTAGTGTGAGGTGAACCCTCGCGGGGCCCTTATCCGACATACAAGTGTTCTGGGCTGCGGCCCCTAGCAAGCCCGTGCCCGCCCTAAGTGAAGGTGGGCCTGAATATCCACGTGAGGCCTGTTTTCGACATTTTCCATATGTGGATACTCAGACAGTTGCAGCACGCCAGTTGGTTACAAAGCAACGTGAGCCTCCAGGCTCTTCCGGAAGCAAAAGGGCTGCGCTGTACAGTTGAGCCCAGGGCTCAGGTGGTTGCGCCCTGGGCACACACTGTGTGAGGCCGACACATCACGGACTGGTTACGGCCCAATGAGGAAGCAGCATTGTCGTCACACATGTGCCGCGAGTCAATGAGAATGCTGCAAACACTTGGAGGGTGGCTGGCTGCCTGAACGGGCCTGACTACACGAGGCCCAGGCCAGTATCTGAAACTGGGCCTGGGTGCAGGCACCTGAGGCCAGAGGCAAGCTACTGGGCCCCCACATGCCTGGCCAGGCCAACCAGCAACGGACACTTTCCATATAGGAAAGTGTGTGCCCCAAGGGAGGGCATTCTGGCCTTGGCAGGCAATGCAGACACGCTGCTCCGTTGCTGCGCTAGTGTCTGCATGGCCGCTGCCGGTCGGAGACGCGCACGAGCGCTGAGGTGAGGGGTGATGCTGAGGCAGCGGGCGCACAGCAGCCATAGCCGGGCTGCAGGGGCGCAGGCAGGTGATGGAAATGGTGGTCTTCGGGAAGGAGGTGCATGCAGAGGGGGTCAAGGTGTATGCTGGTGGTCGGCATTGGTGTTGACGTCACGTACATTGGTCTTTGACTTCGATGCGATCCCGTTGCAAGAACGTTGATAGGTAGATAGGCTGAGTAGAGAAGGCTGGCCGCCAGGCGCCAAACAGTAGGAGCGACATTGGATACAGTGTTGGTGTGACCAGGGAGTGTCGACATTGACACTCGAGTTCATTGTATTGCTCCTATTTGGATGGAATCTTGGTGCATTGCGCTCTCTGCTTGGTACATGACTATCTGGACTACTTTGTGATTTTGTAACTTGGTTTTCTGTTTATCGCCCTCACTCATATTCCTTGCAGAGGTATATCGAGAGAAGAATATAGCTTAGTTATATTTAAAAAAAAAAAAAAAAAAAACTATGATGACTATGAGACCGATCTCTCCCAATAGGAGTTGGATGCTCCCATCACCGAAGAGGGAAATGTATCTTGCAGCCAAGACCGGTGGCCTGCGGCAAATGCCCAGGCCTGGATGGTCTGCCCATAGAGCTGTGGGTCTTATGAACAGCCTAATTGCCTTAGGAGAAGAACTTAAAAACTTCTGCTCAATTACAGGACTTCATTGTGCCCATGAATAGCCACACACACACATCGCCCACTACTAGTCCGTGGGCTAACTTCGGTATTTTAATACCTTTCTGAGGCTTTCTCAGCCTTCTTTTTCTTTTTTTTCCTGTTCCCTTGGCAGTGGTTTCGCAGGATGGTAGATAGAAACAGTGGGAATCTTTATAAGATCAAGAACTGTGGTCCATCGGGCCACCTAAAAAAAAAAAAAAAAAAAAAAAAAAAAAAACGCCTTTGCTGTTCAATGGAGCCTGCCCACGCCTTTGCTGTTCAATGGAGCCCGCCCTCGTTTTCAGAAACAGTCGCCAACAAGCGTAACCCCGCAGGGTGACAACGATTACCTGTGACTTATCTGGATCCCGATTGGATAAACTGTCTGTCTGTCTTTTGCCTGACCCTGCCTCGCGGCAGCAAGCAGGGTAGTGAACACATCGCAGGTCAACCAGATCCCGATTGGATAAATTGTCTGTCTGTCTGTCTGTCCTTTGCCTGACCCTGCCTCGTGGCAGCAACCAGGGTCACAAACGCATCGTGTGCCCCGCTGAGCAAGTAGATATCCAGGAAGTTTCAGTGGCCCCCCTCCAAGGACGCACGACCAGTTGCGACAAACTGGAATCGGAATCGGAATCGGGATCAGGATCAGGATCGGCTCATTTTATCTTCTGCATGTTATTGCCTGCTGCAAAGTGGAAATGGTTATGACTACTTGTTTCCTCCTAACAGAGCGTATGTGTGTTATATCCATACAAATTCCAAGATCGATCAGATACAGAACGTATGTGTGTTATATCCATACAAATTCAAGATCAATCAGATACGTCAACTCCTCGCCTATGCATTCGCAATAAATGTAAGGAATATAGGCTCTCTGTATTTCCCTCCCTCCCTCCCTCCCTCCC